CAGCAGCAGCAGCAGCAGCAGCAGCAGCAGCAGCAGCAGCAGCAGCAGCAGCAGCAGCAGCAACAGTTCGAGGATGTGCAGTTAACCGCAGTCATGTCAATGGTTGATTTCCCCGATCTTGTCATCGATATGAAAGCTTACATTATGGGCATGACACTAAGTCTGGACGAAAAGTAAGTCTGCTCTCAATAAAGAAGTGATAAGCATTTTTAGAAAAACGAACTTCCATTTTTTCTTTGGTGCTACTGACTCAGACTTGTATAGGCATACCTACGGCACCGGTTGAATTTTACTGGGAGTCCCTGCTGCGATATTCGGATTTCTGTGGTGATATTCGCTGAATATTGTTAGCAATTATCGGCAGCCTGTCGGAATAAAATTCCTCGAGAACTGTATTTTTATATTTCCTTATCGGCATACTCCAAAAACTTTGAAAACTCTCATAATGACAGGATTTCTGGAAGCTAGAATTCTCACTCGCAGCTGGGAATCAGTTTTTGACGGACAGCAGTTCGTGCCCAAGTGAGTTTCTGAAGGGAGGATCGACGATACGTGCCAGCAACATTATGTGCAAAGAAGATAGTGTATGCGAGCTTATCTTTCTTCATTTCTACAGCACATTTCCTCAATTTTAGGTATCTCTTTGTAAATTTGACGCACGACAGCTACGGTGGAAGCCAGCGATTTGCAAATTTGGTACCAGTTATTTTCAAATTTGCATGCAAAAAAATCAGCTCCTTCTCTCCCTCCATCATTTCATTTTCAACAGTCCACTGGTTTCTGGTGTGAAAAACAGTGGAAAGCTGGAAGGAATCGCTCTGATTCCTTTTCTTCCTCAAAAAATTTTGTGTGAATTTGTGATATCTTCCTACTCTCTCTTCCAAAAATGGGGATACCTAAAAGTCGCTATATTTTGATTTGAAGTGAAGGAGCATTTTTTGAGTGTGATCTTTCAGAAATTTCTAGAACTGTCCTCCTTCTCTAAAATCCTGGTGACGCTTATTGGGAAACATTTGGTGCTTTTTGAGGCGCATTTACATTTTCTAGGGAGAAATTAGGGTCATCAGCCTGTCCAGCATGATGGTCGAGGACTCATACATTGGTCATTTCGCAACATGTGTTGATCGATTCGGTTGCTCAGTTGGCGGACACTACGTTGCCAGGTGCAGCAACGAGTTATGTTTGGGTGTATGAAATCTTCCTATTGTTAACTCTCCAAAATTTTTTTTCCAGTGCTTAGTCCAAAAAAAAGTCATATTTTTCTGCTTTTTATAGATGAGGTCGTTTGGAAAATAACCGGCAGCAACTACCTACTGGCAAAGTCGTCTCTTCCGGATGTTGGAATAGCAAGCTTCGTTTGGTGGCTTGCTTTAACCAAAAATTACACCCATGAATACCTTTTCTCCAATTTCTCCAAACCAGCTTTGAAGCGTTGGCGTCCATTTTTTAATGCGTTTTTGCCTGTATGCAAATTGCAAAAACGCATATTGCGGCGATCCTCTGTGCGTGCGTATGTGTGTGTGTGCGTGCGTGTGTGCGTGTGTGTGTTCGTCTGCTCGAGTATTTCAAATCGGATGAAGCTGCGGCTCCTCTTGGCCTTGTGTACGAAAGGGTGAACGTCTTGGCGGGAAAATTGCTAAATCAGGAACGAGGAAGGATAGAACACTGAAATTTTGAGGTTATGTTCCCTGCGCACATATAACTCAAAGATTTAAAATCCAGCCCCCAGGCTTGCGCGGTTCCCGTGTACGGTCCCGTAAAGGTTCCTGTCACGAAAATCGCTAACTTGGGAATCAGGATAGCTGGGAGGCTGAAATTTTAAGGGAATGTTATCCGCCCATGTACAATTCTAATTTACCAAATTCACCCTCCAGATATGCGGGGTTAGCACGTACGGCCCCGTGGATTTTTTTGTTGGGAGAATAGCTAATTCAAGAACCAAGTAAGCTAGGAGGCCGAGATTTTAAGGGGATGTTTCCCACCCATGCACAACTAGAAATTATTAAATTCAGCTATCAGGCATGCATGGTTCTCATGTTTGGCTGCGTAGAAATTTTTGGCGGAAAAAATTGCTAACTCGGAAAAGAAGAAAACTGGGAGGCTGATGTTTTAAGGGATCTTCCTAGTCCATATACAAATTAAAGCTGTCAAGTTCAACCCCCAGGTATGCGTGGTTCTCACGTACGGCCTCGTGAAATCTTTTTTTTGTGGGGG